GAAGGCGATAAGTGGAGTTCCACAATGGTCTGTGTTGGGTGCTTAACTTTTTAAAATTTATGTTAATGTCTTAGATGACCGAATTTGCAGTTGACATAAAGATAGGTGGGACAGTATGTCGTAAAGGGGGTACAAGCTTGATGCAGATGGAAATTTATAGGTGACTGGACAAAAATCTGGCAGATGGTGCATCATGGGGGCAAAAATGTGAAGTTGACTGCAGTAGGAAGAAATTTTTATAAAAGGAGTATTACTTAAACAGAGAATAACTGCAGAATTTTGAGGTGCAGAGGGATCCAGGTATTCTCGTGCATGAGTTGCATAAATTTTAATATTGAGATCTAGCACATAACTAAGAACACTAATGGAATTTATTTTACTCATTCATGGGATGTGGGCCTTGCTGGCTGGACCAGCATTTATTGCATCACCCTAGTTGCTCTTGAAGGTGGTGGTGAGCTGCTTTTTTTTTGAACTGTGGCAGTCCACGTGCTGTAAGTCAATAAACAATGCTGTCATGGAGGTAATTTCAGGATTTTGGACCAATGACACTGAAGAAATGGCATTTTATTTCCAAGAAGGTATGGTGAGTGGGTTGGAGGGGATCATAGAGGTGTCAGTTCCCAGGTATCTACTGCACTTGTCCTTCTAGATGGTCGTGGGTTTAGGAGATGCTACCTCAGGAACTTTGGTGAATTTCTGAATCCTGTAGTTTGTAGTTTATATACATTGCTGCTCCTGAGCACCAGTGGTGGAGAGCGTGAATCTGGTGCCAATCAAGTGGGCTGCTTGTCCTGGATGGTGCCAAGCTTATGAAGTGTTGTTGGAGCTACACTCATTCAGACAAGTGGGGAGTATTCCATCACACTCCTGACTTGTGCCTTGTGGATAGTGGACAGGCTTTGGGGAGTCAGGAGGTGAGTCACTTGCTGCAGTATCCCTGTCCTCTGGCCTGCTTTTGTAGCCACTGTATTTATCTGGCTAGTCCAGTTCAATTTCTGGTCAGAACATTGATAATGGTGGATTCAGTGATATATGAAGGTCAAATCCAGGTGGAAATTATATAGTGAATGGCGCAACCCTTAGGAGTATTGATATGCAGAGGGATCTGGGTGTGAAGGTCCACAGATCACTGAAGATGGCAGCGGAGGTAGATGAGGTAGTTTAAAAAAAGGCCTATGGCATGCTTGCCTTCATTGGAAGGGGCATTCAGTATAAGGATAGGCAAGTTATGCTGCAGCTTCATAGAACTTTAATTAGGCCACACTTGGAATATTGCGTACAGTTCTGGTCACCACACTGTCAGAAGGATGTGGATGCTTTGGAGAGGGTACAGAAAAGGTTTACCAGGATGTTGCATGGTATGTGGGGATTTTAGCAATGAAGAAAGGTTGGATAGACTGGGTTTGTTTTCACTGGAAAGCAGGAGGTTGAGGAGCAACCTGAAAGAAGTTTATAAGGTTGTGAATGGCATGGATAGAGTAGAAAGTATGAGGCTTTTTCCCAGGGGGGGGGGGGGGTAAATTACTAGGGGACACAGGTTCAAAGTGCGAGGTGAGGGGGAGGAGGGGAGTTGAAAAAAGATGAGAGGCAAGTTTTTCACACAAAGGGTGGTGAGTGCCTGGAACGCATTGCCAGAGGTGGTGGTGGAAGCAGACACAATAGTAGCATTCAAGAAGCACCAGGACGACTACATGAATAGGAAGGGAATAGAGGAATATGGATCCTGTAAGTGGACACGGTTTTAGTTTGGAAGGGCAAAATATGTCGGTGAAGGCTTGGAGGGCCAAAGGGCCTGTTCCTGTATTGTATTGTTCTTTGTTCTTTGCTATAACCATCGAATGTCAAGGGGCAAGAGATGTTCACTGCCTGGCATTTGTGGCATGAATGTTACTTGCTGCACAAATGTGGATGCTATCTTCTATTACGAGTGAAATTAAACGTAAGAGTGAGGATGTTTTGCTTCCATTTAATAGAGCATTGGTGAGACCACATCTTGAACACTATGCAGTTTTGGTCTCCTCATTGAAGGATCATTGTAAATATATTGAAGGTGGTTCAGGAAGATTTATGAGATTGATCTGAAATGAACACGTCCTCTTATGCTGAGCAGACTGTTGTTTTTTCCCCACTCTGCTGAGTAGAGCGAGAGGTGACTCTTTTGAAACGCATAAGTTCCTGAACCCTGTTGTCAAGGTGGACACGAAAAAGATATCTCCTATCCTTTTCCAGTCCTATCCTGTGGTTCAGTCCTAGGACAAGAGGGAAACTGCTTCAAATTTAGGCATAGCTTTTTGAGGATAGAGTGGAGGTTTGTTTACTCCACTTGGACCAGTTGTATGATCCTTTTGATCTCTCTGCCGATAAAATGTGTTTGTGTGCTGTCCTCTCACTGCACCTGACAAAGAGGCTGCGCTCCAGAAGTTTTCAATTTCAAATAAACCTGTTGGACGATAACCTGGTGTTGGGTGACTTTTGATTTTAGTCATCGAATGAGTGCACAACAATGGAACACAGACCCAAGGTAACCTTGCAAAAATCTTACTGGTATCTAGAGACTGCAACAAAGGTTGGGAGAACTGTGACAAAATTGTCCAGAAATGTTGACATTGTCATACACACAAAATCATGTTCATTAGTCCACGTTCTAGATTCCGCCATCATCTCTATATCTCATCGGAGATACAAGACTGATAGATAAGAGGCAAGAGTGTATTGGATGATTTCGTGACCTTACGGACTCCTCAATATTGACTCCAGAGCTCATGAAATCCCAGTCTCAGGCCAAGCATGTGCAAGGAAACACATTGTTGATGAATCTGTACCCTTACACATTGAACATCACTTAGAGGAAGCACTAAAGGTAGCAAGGACATGAAATTTACTGAGTGGAGATTCAGCAGCATTCGGAGAGATATGAAGAAAACTGGAAGTAATCAGGTACACTTGGTATCTTTCAGCATTTGGTATGTTTTCTTGGAACACTGAGTATTGGAAGACAAATGAAGAAGTGGCAGTAACAGGCATAGATTCTACTAGTGTTGAGTGAAATGGGGTCCTGGAGAAACTGAAGCAACGTTCCTTGGCCTATATGGACTTGAGGGCACTGCTGCATTTTGCTCCTGCATTGTAAGCCTGATACCTTGCTTCTATCAGTTTTAAGTGCAAAACAAGCTTTAGTATTGCAATTGCTGATGACATTACTTCTTTGTTAACTGCAGAGTAACAAATTAGAATGTTCACAATTAAGCTAATGCTGGCTAACTTCTGAAACCACCATTAAAGCACTAATTGGGCTGGTTTGCTTCATTGAGAACTTAAGAAAATTCTTTTTTCACAAGAACTCTCAAATGACCTTTCCATGATAATTAGGAGAAAAACATTGATTTTATCACGCAATTGGGAAATTGTTTTTTTTTCTAATTATGTTCTTGCTGACTGTTTCTGTGTCTCAAGTTCATTTTATTAATTATTTGATAATGGTTGAAATGTGAAATTTTATCTGGGTTTCGTGTTTCCCCCATTTCAAGTATAGAAATGCAGTAACGGAATGAAATGATAAAGCTTGTTCAGAAATTGGGAGATTGATGATGGATCCTGGAAAATAATGCAACCCACATTCTTGGATTGTAGAGATGTGGTTCTTAACTCATTACATTTTTGGGGAGCAAATTTTCAATTGAAACTCAGGAATCTGGTATCTTTAAAGTAAATGAACTCAGATAATAGCAGAAGTAAATCACGTAGGAAGTCTGCATCCCCAATTTTTCTGTCTGGCAGTGGTAGCAACAACCCTGAAGACCAACGATGCCAGGACACTTGTAGGAGCTCTAATGATGTCCTCCTTGAAGAGACAGTGTGCAGTAATGGACATCTCTCACTCATTGTTGGCTTCGAAATCTTATCTTTTGTTTTAGGCTTCTTGCAGCTTGAAACATTCTGGTACTTGGTTCTTCAATTGTGGGTTTCCTCATGTGGTGTTTTACTGAGTTTCCTGATGCCATATCATTTCTGTTGTTTGCAATGGCAAGCTCTCCCTTGCTACAAGAAATCCGATTTAAAGCTCAATCTGTTTAATGAGTTACTTCAACCCAGAAATGCGTTGCAGGCAGGGAATTAGGCTAAAGCCTTCCCTTGGCAGAATAAGGAAAATTCAGCCTGAAAAATTTTAGTTTCAATGAGAAAGAGATGTAGAATCATAGAATACAGAAGAAGCTCTTCTGCCAAAAAATATACTATCTATTCTAGTCTCACTTTCTGACATAACCTTGAACATTTTGACAGTTCAGTGCTCATCCAAGTACTATTTAAAGGTTTTGAGGGCTTTCTGCCTCAGGTAGTGTCCCAGGCGGTGCAGTCCCCACTGCCTTCTGTGTGAGAGTTTTCTCAAATCCACGCCACCACGCCCCCCCCCCCCCCCCCCCACCAACCTCCTGCCTTTCACTTTATAATTATACCTCTTTGTTCTTTACCCTTTGACTGAGGGGAACAGCTGCGTTTTACTCATCCTGTCCATGCTCCTCATTATCTTATACACCTTCATCAAGTTTCCCCCCCCGCCCCACAAAACCTTCTCCCTGTTAAAAAAAGCAACCCCAAGCTGTCCAATCTCTTTATCGCTGAAATGCTCCATCTCAGGCAACATCATTGTGAATCTCCTTTACAACCCTTCCAGTGCAAGTACAGATAAAATGATTTAACATTTTCTGAAGTCATTTTTTGTCAGCTTTTTATATTTTTCTATAATTCACCTTTCAAGGTTAGGTGCTTTTTGTTTTTGAAAAAAAGCATCTTATTGTTGGCTCCACATTTTGTCTGTACCTTCTATCAACCAACACTTATTGTAACATGTTTATGGGCAAGCATTTTTGTATTAGTAGTATTGCTGTCTCACTTTCTCTGTGAAGATTGAACTTTATCTTTACATTTTATATACCTCCTGAATCATTGCCAGTGACTCTGGCAGTGTTTAATGTTTAGCTTGTATTTTGTATTGCTAGAAACAGAAAGAAGGTTGTAACAGAAAAAAATTGTGAAAAACACTTCTGATAAGAAATGTCATCGGCTCAGAAGACAAGCTGCTGTAAGGTGAGGTGAGTGTGACATTCCTTGACATCAAAGCAGCACTTGACTAAGTATGACACTAAGAAACCCTAACAAAACTGGAGTTGATGGTAATTGTGGGGTAAACTCACAACTAGTTGGAGTCCTACCAGACATAGTTAGGATCTTTGAAGATAGCATGAACTGCAGATGTTCGAGTCAGTCAATACAGTGTGGAGCTGGAGGAACACAGCAGATCAGGCAGTATCAGAGGAGCGGAAGAGTCAACGTTTCGTGTCGGGACACTTCCTCAGTACTGATAAAGGGTCTCAACCCGAAACATCGACTCTCCTCCTCTGATGCTGCCTGATCTGCTGTGTTCCTCCAGCTCCACACTGTATTGACTGTGATCTTTGAAGGCCAATCATCTCAATACTACATAAGTGCTAGAAAATGATGCTGTTCAAAGAGAACGTCACGATCTCCCCTTCATGTTCATTGGACTGGTGTTGCCATTACTTAATCCAGAATCATCAATTACCTTGGGGTTATTATTTTCTATAAACTGAATTGGACCAGCCATATAGATACAGTGGCAACAAGAGCAGGTAAGAGTCTGGAAATTCTGCAGTAAGTGACTCGCCTCCTTACTTCCCAAAGCTTAGGCACCATCTGCAAGACTCAAGTCATGGATATGATGGAATACTCGCCACCTGATTGCATGAGAACGGCTTCAACAACTCTGAAGCTCAGAACCATCCAGGACAAAGCAGATGTCTTCTTTATTATATCTTTTAGTATTCACCCCCTCCACCACTGGCACATAATGCACAGTGAATGCCATCTGCAAGATTCTTTAATAGCTGTGTCTAAACAATGACGTCTACCACCTAGAAGATTATGCAAGTGCATGGAAACATCACTATCTGCAAGTTTCCCTCTAACACACAATACAGTTTATCCACTGTCATAAAATGTGGCCCTGATTAGTGCATCATAGAAGAAGACTATATATCTTTCACTGTGAGCAGTGCTAGTCGGCAAGTATAAATGACTTGAATGTATAGTTAGTAAGTTTGCAGATGATATCAAAATAGGTGGTGCAGTGGACAGTGAAGAAGGTGACTTCAGAGTACAACGGGAACTTGGTCCATCTGAGTAATGGGCCAAGGAGTGGCAGATGGTGTTTAATTCAGATAAATATATTTTCATAAGGTAAACCAAGGTAGGACTTATACAATTAATGCTAGGGTCCTGTGGAGTGTTGCCAAACAGAGACCTAAGAGTGCAGGTTCATAGTTCCTTGGAAGTGGCATAGTAGATCAGGTAGTGAAGAATGCATTTGGCACGCTTGCCTTCATTGGTCAGAACACTGAGTACAGAACTTGGGATGTCATGTTACAGCTGTACAGGACATTGGTGAGGCCACTTTTGGAATACTACATTCAATTCAGGCCTCCCTGCTATAGGAAAGATGTTCTGAAACTTGAAAGGTTTCAGAAAAGATTTCCAAGAATGTTGCTGGGACTTGAGGGTTTAAGCTATAGGAACAGTCTGAATAGGCTGAGGCTTTTATCCCTGGAGTGTCAGAGACTAAGGGATAACCTTATCAGTTTATAAAATCATGAGGGATGTGGATTGGCCAAGGTCTCTTTCCTAGGGTGGGGGAGTCCAAAACTAGAGGGCGTAGGTTTAAGTTGAGAGGAGAAAGATTTAAAAAGACCCTTAAGGGTAACTTATTAACACAGCATGGTGCATGTATGGAATACGTTGCCAGAGGAGCTGGTGAAGGTGGGTACAATTACAACATTGAAAAGGCATCTGGATGGGTACATGAATAGGAAGGGTTTAGAGGGATATGGGCCAAAAGCTGACAAGTGCAACTAGGTCAGATTGGGATGTCTGGTCAGTGCGAATGAGCTGGACTGAATGGTCTGTTTCTGTGCTGTATGACACTATAAGTAGTCAGTGTTAGTTACATTGACAAGTACCCTGACTTCCACAATTCTTGGGACAATAACCAAATATATCACCCCTGAACAAGTCTCAATAAAATTTCACACCTAAATTGATGTCCTTGGGGTGAGGTGGGATTTAGGGTATGTGGAACATTGTCTGCATTGCAGTTCTTCCATGGATAACCCAAATCTTCTCTACATACCCTTGTCATTTCACATCATTATAAGATAACTTAGAAGGATGAACAGGTCTGCATGTTCAAGTGCTGTGTGCACATGGAATATTTTGAAATTTTCAGACCAATTCAACGTGTCATAAGCTACAAGTTCCCAGCTGTTGCTCAACAGAATTTCCTTATTTCAGCAATTGATTTGTACTCTGTAATAACAATAGAGCATTTCTTCATATGAAATCTCCAGGAAAGAGACTGATGTCAAAATCAGATGTTGGAAATTACGGCAATAATTGACCTGGAAGGAGCACACTACAAGTGCTATGAGTGATTAAGTGTTTGAGTGCTGTGACTATAAAGTGATAAAATTTGATTAGCTCATTGTTAGTGAGGCTAAATACTTTTCCTCCTACTGCACTTATTACCATTACAATGTTGATCTTCTTTACTATCTCTGTGAATGTACTTGAGCAGCTTTCTGCTATATATAAAATAAATTGCATGTTGGATTTCTGGACCATTGACAGTTTTTGTTTCCTGCTGTAGATAGTGTTCTCTTGACCATGGGAATTTATAGCACCTAAGCAGGCCAATCAATCTGTTTCTCAATGCCTGCGAATACTATGCTGGATGTACTCGGCATCAGAAAGGTGACTAGAAATGCTAGTTCCATTTTTCTTGCCATGCCTGCTGCCAGGGCTGCTGAGTGTGTGCAGTGCTTCTGTGTTTTTTTTTAATTTAAAAATTCTAGTATTTAATTCCTTGTGAATCCTATCCAAAAAAGGTCATTGAAGGAACATCTGTTTCTTCTTTCCATCTCTCTATGCTGACCACTTTTGAATTGACTGATCTATCAGTGGATTTTCTCCACGTATTCACCCTACTGAATGTCGACCACGTGTACCACATTTATGTAGGTTATCAGGATAGGTGACAATGCACAGTAATCCTCTCAACAATGATGTGCATGGTGGCCAGACCCGAGGGGCAGCGTGGCTTTCTGCTGTTCCAAATTCATACATCGGAACGCATGCTATCTCAAAACAATCGTTTTGCATTTCTAGCATCATGTGTGCTGTTTCCTTCTTATGGCTTTACTGTTTGTTGTCATGACTTCAGATTAAAAACATTACTGCAGTTTACTTGAATGCAGATTGTCATGCTCTATACTTTATATTTTGAGGCTAGTCAGCATGAACATGTTTTGTTGGAAAGTGATTCAGTAGTTTGAAGAGTTACCTGGCTAAAACAGCTGTTATCCAGGAAATGGTTTTCTCTATTTTTGGGGTGGTGGGGGAGGAGATCAAAACAAGTTCCAAGAAACGACACTGACAATGAAGCATTTCACAATTTGTTCAGCTCCTTTTTAAACATTTGCAGTGAATCCACAGTTGCTGCATCAGCTGGCAGTTTGTTCCAATGATCTGCTGCAGAATGAAGCAGAATGTTTTCTCACCCAGTGCTATGCTTAAATAATTTGTATGTGTCCCTTTAGTACTTGATTCATATTGTATATCTTTGAGGCCACCATAATTAGTATTTAGTAATCTATTTTAAATATCTTGATCAAATCTCCCCAAAGTCTTTTTTTGAGGGGCTGTTTTTCCTTTTATGTAGTCAATGCCTGTACTCAGCATCAGGATAGCTTTCACTATGAAAGCTGAAATAGTAATTCCATCCTGCATAGCAGTCACTGATAGAAACTCATAGACAGGAAAATAGCAAATGCCGTATTGCATCTGTCTCTTAGTCATGTTCAAATTTGAGAATCCTAATCTCCATGCATTACTGGCATTGTACCTCATCAGAGGCTGAACAACTGTCTTTAAAAGATGACCCTGGGCCAATTCTGAGAAATCCCTCGCTGACACACAACATCTCTCTAAAAAGAGATCAAAAACAAGTTCCAGGAAACCACAGTGACCATGAAGCATTTCACAAACATCCCATGTAGTTTTTATGACAATCAACCTCAACCATTAATTTGTTCAGCTCCATTTTTAAACATGAATCCACACTTGTGTGGCATGAGCTGACCTTTTCTCCATGATCTGCTTCGAAAAGAAAAATCTTTCGTTTAACCTAGTTCTATGCTTAAATAGTTTGTACGTGTCCCTTTATACTCAACCTACTTAATTCACATAGTACCTTTTGACAGCCATGAATATATACTGTTTTAAAATTTGAATCAAATCTCCCTGAAGTGTTTTTTCAGAGTAAAATGATCCAGTTCATTAAAAATATCATGATTCTTATCATTCCAGCTAAAGTTACAACCAGGTCAAGTTAGATACCAGAATTAAATCAGGCTTGATAGATTATATTTTTTAAAAGTTTTATATAGTTGTCTCTTGCTGAAACATAAACATACCAGACTACAGATTTGGTTTTAACAAGAAAACAGAGGTTTCATTTAAGTCCTCCTCATCTCTGTCTTAAACGGGTGACCCTTGTTCTGAGATTATGCCCTCTGGTTCTAGATTTTCCCACAAGTGGCAACAACCTTTCTGCGCCTGTCAAGTCCCTGAAGAATCTTGTGTGTCTGAATAACTTCACTTCTCATTGGAATATCGAAGAATGAGTAAAAGGCCAAACTACTAACCTCTCTTCATTAGATAGTCCCTCTATACTCTTTATGAACCTAGTGAACTTTCTCTGGACTGCCTCCAATCCATGATATCATTGCAGGTTACTAAGGGGCCCAAAACTGTTCACAGTATTCCATTTGTGGCCTGACTCATGTCTTATAGTTTTAGCAAGACTTGCTGAGTTAAATACTCCATTCCCTTTAAAATAAAGCCCAACATTCCATTTGTCTTCCCCATTACGTTACTTGTTTTGTATGCGAGCTTTTTGTGATTTTATGTATGAGGACTTGCTCTACTGTGTGAAACCCCACAAGATAAACAAATTTCCACTGACTCTCCAGAAGACCATTGGACATCTCTCCTCTCCTATGCATATAGCTTTAAAATTGTGGTTCTAAAAAGACTGACCTAGTTAATTATTAACCTCTTCTCAAAAACAAAACCCCAACACCCTTCTGCCACAAATTTGATATCCACAACATTGAAAAACGTAATATATATTAGAGTTCACTTTTCATCACAAAAACAAAAGCCTGATATTCATGTAGAATACTGTTCTCAAACTTTTCCAGGCTATCCAGTTTTTCACATCAGTGTTTACAGTGGTGAAGGATATGGATGCTTGAGATCTTTGAAAAAGTGTCCATACTACAGAGGAGGTGGTGCTGGACGTCTTAAAATAGATAAAGGTGGCTAAATCTCCAGGACCTGATCAAGTTTACCCCAGAACTTTATGGGAAGCTAGGGAAGTGATTGCTTGGTCCTTTGCTGAGACATGTGTATCTTTGATAGCCATGGGTGACGTGCCAGAAGACTGAAGGTTGGTCAATGTGCTTCTATCGTTTAAGAAAAATGATAAGGAAAAGCGAGGGAATTACAACGGTGGTCCTGATGTCAGTGGTGGGTATGTTGTTGGACAGGATTCTGAGGGACAGGATTTACGTGTCTTTGGAATGGCAAGGACAAATTGGGCAGAGCTATGGACGTACGCTAGGAGATAGCGAGAACTGCAGATGCTGGAATCTGAGTCGAAACAGTGTGGAGCTGGAGGAACACGAGATCCGGCAGCATTAGAGGAGTAGGAGTGTCAATGTTTCGGGCCTAGATACTTCAGCTGGGAAACTAATAGAGGGAAGAGGGATGGGGCTGGGGGAAGGTAGGTGAGATAGCGATAGGTGAATGCAGATAGGGGTAGTGGGGATTGGTCAGTGGGAAGGGTAGGGCAGATAGGTGAGGAAGGAGATGGACAGGTAGTGTCACGTCAAGTTGTCTATATGGACTTCAGCAAAGTGTTCGACAAGGTTCCGCATTAGGTACAAAATTGACTTGAAGGTAGGAGACGAGGGTGGTGGTGAGGGCTGATTTTTGGACTGGAGGTCCGTGACCACTAAATTAAACTCAATCTGCCATTCCTCGGCTCATTGGCCCGTTGCACTCTTGTTCAGTATCCACTACACCACCAATTTTGTTATCGTGCAAACTTACTAACCATACATCTTATATTCACATCCAAATCATTTACATAAATGACAAAACACAACAGATCCAACACTGTTACTTGTCGCACACAGCTAGTCACACCTCCAGTGCAAAAAAAACACTTCACCACCTTCCTCTGTCTCTTGTCTTCAAGCCAATTTTGTATCCAAATGGTTATCTCTCCCTGGATTCCTCGTGATCTAACCTTGCTAGCTAGTCTACGATGTGGAAGGTTGTTGAACACCTTGCTGAAATACATAAAAGGAGAGGCCATTGGATTTGGTGCTTGGCAATGAACGGGGCCAAGTGTTAGACCTGTTGGTAGGAGAGCATTTTGGCGGTAGCGATCATAACTCTGTTACTTTTACAATAGTCATGGAAAAGGATAGGTACATACAGCAGGGTAAGGTTTATAATTGGGGGAAGGGTAATTATAATTCTGTTAGGCAAGAACTGGGTAACATAAAATGGGAACAGATGCTATCAGGGAAGAGCACTATTGAAATGTGGAGATTGTTTAAGGAATGCATACTGCGTGCGATCGATATGTTTGTCCCTAGCAGGCAGGGAAGAAGCGGTCGAGTGAGGGAGCCTTGGTTCTCAAGAGAGGTTGACTGACTGGTTAAGAGGAAGAAGGATGCTTGTATAAGGTTGAAGAAACCAGGAATGGAAAAGGCTCTAGAGGGATACAAGTTATGCAGGAAGGAGCTGAAGAAAGGGCTTAGGAGAGCTATAAGGGAGCATGAGAAAAATCTTGGCAGATAGGATCAAGGAAAACTCCAAGGCTTTTTACACGTACGTGAGGAATAAGAGAATGACCAGATAAAGGGTAGGGCCTATCAAGGATTGTAAAGGGAATTTGTGCATGGAGCCCAAAGAGATAGGAGAGGTCCTTAATGAATACTTTTCTTCGGTATTCACAACTGAGAGGGACCTAGTTGTAGAGGAGGACAGTGTGAAACAGGCTGGTAGGCTAGAGGAGGTGGATGTTAGTAAGGAAGATGTACTAGGAATTTTGAGGAACTTGACAGATAATTCTCCCTAGCCTGATGGGATTTATCCAAAGATTCTATGGGAAGTGAGGGAAGAGATAGCAGGGCCTTTGGCGATGATCTTTTCGTCCTCGGTGTCCACGGATATAGTGCCGGAAGATTGGAGAGAGGCAAACGTCATTCCCTTGTTCAAAAAAGGAAATAGGGATAACCCTGGAAATTACAGGCCAGTTAGTCTTAGGTAAGTGGTGGGCAAATTATAGGAAAGGGCTCTGAGAGATAGGATTTATGATCACTTGGAAAGGCAGTTTGATTAGTGATAGCATGGATTTGTGACGGGTAGATCATGCCTCTCAAACCTTATTGAATTCTTTGAGGAGGTGACCAAACACGTGGATGAAGGTAGAGCAGTGAATGTGGTATACATGGATTTAAGTAAGGCGTTTGATAAGGTTCCCCATGATAGGCTCATGCAGAAGATAAGGAGGCATGGGATAGGGGGAAATGTGGCAGATTGGATTCAAAATTGGCTGACGCTTAGAAGACAAAGGGTGGTAGTGGATGGAAAATACTCAACATGGTGCTCAGTTACGAGTGGTGTACCACAAGGATCTGTTCTGGGTCCTCTTCTATTTGTGATTTTTGTAAAAGATTTGGACGAAGGAGTGGAAGGGTGGATTAGTAAATTCATGGACGATACGAAGGTGGGTCGAGTTGTGGATAGTGTGGAGGGCTGTTCTAGGTTATAAAGGGACATTGATAGAATGCAGAGCTGGGCTGAGAAGTGGCAGATGGAGTTTAACCCTGAAAAGTGTGAGGTGATTTCATTTTGGAAGGACAAATTTGAAAGCAGAATACAAGGTTAACGGAAAGATTCTTGGCAGTGTGGAGGAGCAGAGGGATCTTGGGGTTCATGTCCACAGTTCCCTGAAAGCTGCCACCCAGGTGGATAGAGTTACTAAAAAGGCGTGTGGTGTGTTAGCTTTCGTTAATAGAAGGATTGAGTTCAAGAGCTGTGAAGTTATGCTCCAGCTATACAAAAGCCTGGTTCGGCCACATCTGGAGTATTGTGTCCAGTTCTGGTCGACTCATTACAGGAAAGATGTGGAAGCGTTGGAAAAGGTGCAGAGGAGATTTACCAGGATGTTGACTGGAATGGAGGGAAGGTCCTACGAGGAAAGGTTGAGAGAGCTGGGGCTTTTCTCTTTAGAACAACGAAGGATGAGAGGTGACTTGATAGAGGTGTACAAAATGATCAGAAGTATAGATAGAGTGGACAGCCAGAGACTTTTTCCTAGGGTGGAGGTAGCTATTACGAGGGGGCATAGTTTTAAAGTGAGTGGAGGCAGATATAGGGGAGACGTCAGAGGTAGGTTCTTTACTCAGAGAGTGGTCGGGGCATGGAATGCATTGCCAGAGCGGGTAGTGGAGTCGGCCTCATTTGGGGCATATAAGTGGCTATTAGATAGGCATATGGATGATAGTATAAGGTAGGGGGTGGAGGTTAGATAGACCTTGGGTTTAGGGTAAAAGTTCGGCACAACATTGTGGGCCGAAGGGTCTGTACTGTGCTGTATTATTCTATGTTCTAATCGTAAATGTGCCATTCTTCACTCATCTGGCTTTTAGATGACTCCAGATCCATACTGATGCCCTCTGAAATGGCCCAGCAAGCCACAAAAGACAGTTCATGACAACCTTCTGACAGGTCAGAGATAAGTTAGCCTTAACAATGATGACAGCCATATCCCTTGAATGAATACTGCTGCTCAGCTTTGTGCTCAAAACTCATTGAATTATTTTTATCTAGTTTCTGTCCATGTGTACTCAAGGACGGGGTACAGGAGTACAGTGTACAATGTCACCACACAGGGCACCATCTTAGGTACAAAGTACCTAGATACAAAGTCTTTGTTACAGAAGTACAAAAATAAAAAAAAAATTGAAAAATTCAGCACTACAGTCGTCTTAGTCTAAAAGTAGAAAAATAAAATTTAAGTCGTCAAACATTACAGTCCATTCTTAAGCCATGGGCCTGCAGTCGCTCCAAGCTGGGCTTTCCCTAACAGAGCTAGCTCTCCCGTGCGCTGGGCATGCTTTCACCTGCACTGGGCTAAAAGACTTGCTGTTGCTCGCCAGCCGCCTTCGCCACCAACTGCCACTGCTGACCTCCATCAGGCACGGCAGGCTTTACCGTCACTTCCATGGCTTCGGCCCAAAACATTGCTGTACTGCTGCCGCTATCCTTTGCCGCCAGCTGCTCCCACCATTCTGCACACGTACTGGGCCCCAGCTGCTGCCACGCTCTGTTGCTGCGTTAGCCAACTCGCTGCAAAGTCCCCTCTGGTACTGCTCCGGATATCGATGAAGCTGCGATGCCGCCAAACACCAGAGTTCCGCTCGGGCACACCTATTGACTCATGGCGCACCGTCAAAGTCCACCTACAGCTGCCGTTGCTGCCACTGCCTCTATTACCAGGAAGATAAGTAGAGAAAGAAAAAACAAGAAGAAAGAAAAGCTGCCGAAGGAGCTGCAGTTAGGAGCCCTGCTCCACCACCACGTCTATACTTCAAAGTTAGTGTAGTTGGTAGCGTGCTGTGACTGAGACCCTAGCACCATATTCATATTAGCCACGGTTTAAAGTAGACCACTCCATTCTTCTATGCCATATCTCTTGGATGGTACTGCCTTAGTTAGGTTTCACTTTTGTGTTGGTAATCTGTAATTAACTTCCAGTGAATTACTGTTGTTTTGAAAATGTTCCATTTTTAGGCTCCATCCTATTTGTTGACTGCATGCATCTCCATGGTGACTTGTCCACGATAACAACTGGTCTTGCTTTTCATTTTTGGGATTGTGGGTTCAATTTTCAAATGGATGTGCACACCACTCAGTTGCCTCAGTAGATCATACTGTGGACAGACCTTGAGTTGAATGGATTTCAATGATCCGGATTTGTTCCATCATGTGCAATTATGGTCGTACCTTTACCAAACAGATTCCTGAAATACTTTAGTATTCTGGAGGTCAGATTCAGCATGTTGCACTGTAACTCAACATTTCTGGAAAGCAGATGTCGAAGAGAAATAGCATCTGTTATGCTTCTTCCACGTTGTCAAGATGTTGGATCTATATTGGAGAAGTATCAGGCCATTCTGCCATTAGATCAGAGCAAATCTGTGTCTTAACTCCACCTGTTTGCCTTGTTTCCCAAGCCTCAACCGTGTGTAAAATTTCAGTCTCTATTCAGAAATTTTGAATTGATTGATCCACAATAGCCTTTGGGAGAAAAGTTTGAGGTTCACCAGCCTTTGTGTGTGAAGTCATACTGAGGCTGTGAAGACCAAGTCATAGAACATATTCAAGAAAGGGGTAGATATTGAAGGTATCAAGGGGTATGGGGAGAAAATCAGTATATGGCATTGAGATAGAGGATCAGTTGATTTGATTTGATTTACTATTGTAACATGTACCTAAGTGCACTGAAAAGTTTTTTTTTGTTTCATGAGCAGTACAGGCAGATCATAACATATAAAAATCATAGGGTGATTGAACAGAGCAAGGAATACAGTTATAGCTGCAAAGAAGATGCACAAAAAGCAATATCAGCATTAGATTTGAAATTTTGAGGTCCATTCTGAAATCTAATAACAGCAGGGAAGAAGCTGTTCTTGAACCTGTTGGTGTGTGTGTTTTAAGTTACGATCATATTGAGTAATGGAGCAAGCTGGAAGGGCCATATAATGTTTTCTTGCTCCTTGCTTCAATGTTTCTCTTTGTAAGAATGGAAAAATGCTTTCTGACACAAGTCTTGAGTCTTTGATTTTAAAGCCGTACTCTCCTGTTTGGGACTCCTGCACCAAAGGAAATAATTTCTCTCTATCTGTACTATCAATTTCTCTTTCTCTGCTGATCCACAGTGCTAAGCTTACTGCCATTTATAATTTACAACATAATAATCTGTTAATGATAATATGTATGTTGCAAACACTATAGGAAGATATCCCAATCTGATTCACAGGAGCATTATCAATAACCTTTGACACCAAGCTATAAAAGGCTTTTTGGGCAAGGAGAAAAAGGTTTATAGGAAGCAACAAAGGTGCAGAGGGTGAGTGAGAGAATTCCAGACATTAGTGGATTGGCAGGTAAAGTCAATAGTGGAGCATTTAAAATCAGGTGACTCAAGGCTGCAATTGGAGGTCTATTGAAATCTCCAAAGATTGTCAGATTGGATGAGGTTAGAATAGTAAAGCTGTGGATGGATTTGAAACCTAAAATGAGAATTTAAAAATTGAGGCACTGCTTAATCTGGAGCTAAAAGGGAAAAAGGTTCTTCCAATTATCTATTCTATCCATTTCTCTCATAATTTTGTAAACCTCTATTAGGCCACCCCCTCAACCTCCGATGCTCACAAGTGAAAGCAAACGGTGCTTGTCTTCTCATAGCTAATACCCTCCCAAACAGACGTCATACTGGTAAACTTTTTCTATACCCTCTCCAAAGCCTTCATATCCTTCTGGTAGTGTGGCAACCAGAACTGTATGTAACATGCCAAATCTGGCCGAAATAAAGCTCTACACAGCTACAACATGACTTGCCACTTTTTATATTCAGTATTCCGACCGTTGAAAACAAACATCATAGGCTTTCTTGACCACGTGATGGACTTCCTTTGCCACTTTCACAGAACTGTGGATCTGTACGCCTAGGTCCCTCCGTATATTGATGCTTCTAAGCGTTCTGCCATTTTCTGTATACTTGTCTCCTGCATTAGACCTTCCAAAATGTATTATCTTGCGTTTGTTCAGATTAAACTCCATCTGTCATTTTTCTGTCCAATTCTCCAGTCTATCTATATGTCCTTCTGTATCCTCTGGCAATCCTCCTCAATATTCACAGCTCCCCAACCTCTGCGTCATCTGCAAATGTACTAATCATGCCACCTACATTCCAAATCATTTGTATATATGGAAAAACACTTCCACTATTACTCTGTCTTCTATGACCTGAGCCACTTCTGTATCCGTCTTACCAGCTCACCATAGACTCTGTGTCTTCACCTTCTGAATCAGACTGCCATGATGGACCTTGACAGAGGCCTTGCTAAAGTCCATGTAGACAATATCCATTGTTCTGCCCTCATCAATCATCTTTTGTGACTTCCTCAAAAAACTTCATCACATTTGAGAGTCATGACTTCTCCTACACAAAGCCCAGCCATCACAGGGTTGTGCTTTTGGGGGCGGCATGGTGGCTCAGTGGTTAGCACTGCTGTCTGACAGCGCCAGGAACCTGGGTTCAATTCCAACCTCAGGCAACTGTCTGTGTGGAGTTTGCACACTCACTCCATGTTTGCATGTGTTTCCTCCGGGTGCTCCAGTTTCCTCCCACAGTCCAAAGATCTGCAGGCTGGGTGATTTGGCCATGCTAAATTGCCCATAGCGGTCAGGGATGTGTAGATTAGGTGGGTTATAAGGGAATGGGTCTGGGTGGGATGCTTTGAGGGTCGGTGTGGACTTGTTAGGCCGAAGGGCCTGTTTTCACACTTTAGGAATTCTATGAAAAAGCCTGTTGCTAATAAGTTCACATTATTCCAAATGTGAATAAATCTTGTCTCTAAGAATCTTCTCCAATAATTTCCCTCCTACTCCAGTAAGGTTTGTCAGCCTGTAATTTCCCAGATTATCCCTGTTGCACTTCTTAAACAAAGGAACAACGTAGGTGAGGTCCTAGAGGACTGGAAAACTGTCAGTGACTAAAGAGGATGCAAAGCTTTTGTATAAGGTCCCACCAATTTCCTCCCTCGCCTTGCTCGGTATTCTGGGATAGATCCCATCATCTCCAAAACATCCAACACCTTTTTTTTTAATATTGGCATGCCCTGGAATATTAACATAGCCCTCTCTAAACTGACCATCAGGCATATCCTTCTCCTTTGTGAATACTGATGCAAAGTATTCATTAAGAACCTCACCCATATCCTCCATCTCTGTGCATAAATTTTCTCCTTTTGCCCTCAAGTAGACCCACTTGTTCTCTAACTACCCTTTTGCTCCTTACATGTGTAGGAAAATCCTTGTGATTTTCCTTAATCCTATTTGCCAAGCACATCTTAGCCCTTTTTTAGCCCTCCTAACACCTTGTTAAAGTTCTTGACAACACAGTACAGAGCTGCAGGAATGCAGCAGGCCAGGCAGCATCAGAGGAGCAGGAAAGTTGACGTTTCGGGTCGGGACCCTTCTTCAGAAATGGGAAGGGGGAAGGGAGCTCAGAAGTAAATAGAGACAGAAGGGATGGGGCTGGGGAAGGTAGGTGGCATGGTGATAGGTGAGTGCAGGTAGGGAGTGGAGGGGATTGGTCAGGTGAGGTGGGGGTGGGAGAGAAGACAGACAGGTTGTGTCAGGTAAAGGAGGCGGGGATGAGAGGGAGGGTTGGTCATGGGATGAGGCTGGGGGTGGGGACATTTTGAAACTGGTAAAATTCACATTTAGACCATTGGGCTGTAGACTCCTGAGGTGGAATATAACGTGCTGCTCCTCCAGTTGCAGGTGGCATCATTGTGACGCTGGAGGAGGCCCAGGATGGACATGTCGCCTAGGAACTGGGAGGCGGCGTTGAAATGGTTCACGACCGGAAGGTGGTGGTGTTTGTCGCGAACAGAGTGCAGGTGCTGTACAAAGCAGTCTCCAAGCCTCCGCTTGGTATCACTGATGTAGAGGAAGCCAGATTGGATGCAGTAGATGCAATAGAC